GGACAATTTCCTCTTGAAAAGTGGTTTGACAGAATGTTACATATATTTAGATGATTGTGGTATGACTAGCACAATGGGGAGGTGGCTCCTGGTTGGATTTTAACTCCTTTCTTAATCTATCACTATAATATTCTAACCTAACCTAATGCCGCTATGTCGCTATTTATTATGGGAAATATTATACACGTTCGCTTTAACCATACAAGCACCCGAACAAGTCAAACGTTGTCGTCCCTACGCAACGTTGAATTGTCCTCGTACGAGCCGGCCTGTGAAATGGACATCGAAGCGCGCTACTGCCGCCATTGAAAAGCAAAGAGCGACGGAAGGAACCTCGCGAAACTGCAGCGAGCAAAGAAGAAGAAGAAGAAGCAGCAGAATCGGAGAAGACGAGGATGAGCGCGACGGTCGGCGAAGGGAAGGTCGTGTGCGTGACCGGAGCGTCCGGTTACATCGCCTCGTGGCTCGTCAAGCTCCTCTTGCGGCGCGGCTACGCGGTCAACGCCTCCGTCCGCGATCCGAGTACGTTCTCGATCCCTCTCCTCTCCGTTTTCCTTCGAGGTTGGGTTCTCTCCTATTCGGTCGTCTTGGTGAGGTAGCAGTGATTACTACTATGAACGGAAATAATGCCAGTAGGGTTAAGCTTACATAGTGGCCAATAGGCGAGTGCATCAACTGGTGGAATAATCTCTCGAGTGGAACTTTCTTAAGTTCAATAGTAAAGGTGGAAACTTGGAGAATTTGTTCGATCGGTTGGGACTAAGCTTATAGCGCTTGCACCCACGCTTGTTATAACGAACCCCTTTTCGAATGATAAGGTGTTGATGTCATTGGGGCGTCATAACTATGAGATAGTGACCGGGAGTAGAGAAAAGAGTATCGACCTGACAGTGTTGGTCAGGTACAATTTTGATTTGAAAATTGGAATGGATTGGCTAATAAGACGGAAAGCCTTTATGGATTGCCACTATAGGACGATCCAGTTCAATCCGGTTGGATGTCTTAGGTTTGATCTTCAGGAAAGTCGAGGAGGAATCTCGATTCCTTGAATGCCCTCGCTTGAGGTGACTAGATATCCGATAATAGTTGCAAAGGATACGGGGTGAATGTGGTTGACCCGACTATGACGGAACTAAAGTCGGATAACCTTCCGAGGTCTTTCCTTAGAAATCTCGGGGTTGCCACTAGAACGGGAAGTGGAATCGTGAAAGAATTGGCCCCGGAGTGGAACTAATTTCGAGGAGATAGTATTGAATGTCCCTGTTGGAAATTAAAGGAATTGAAAGTCCAGATGTAAGGACTCGTGGGTAAAATTTTATTCGCCCTAGTGTGCCCCCGTGGGGAATTCCTGTATTATGTATAAGGAAAACGGACGGGACATCGAGATGGTATGTAAACTACTGGCAGTTGAAGCAGTCAATGGTAAATAGTAAGTACCTACTGCCGAGGATCGATGATCTATCTGATCAATTGTAAGGACCTCAGTGTTCTCCGAGATTGAACCACGAACTTGATGTCACCAATGGAGACTCCGAAAGGAAAATGTTCCTAAGATTGTGTTACGGACTGGAAATTTTCCGTTAAGGACATGAAAGAGGATGTAATTACAACTGCTTAACAGACGAGGTATGGGCACTACGCATTCATAGTAATGCCCATTGAGCTAAGGGATGCCTCGCTGCTTCTGTGGACCTAATGAACCGAGTGTTCCAAGAATTATGGAATTAGTTCATAACGGTCTTCGTTGATGATGTATTGGGAGACTCGAGGAGCCTGGGAACAAGAAGCGAGTCTGACTGAGGTGTTGCGAACCTTGAGAAAACACGCACTCCACGCCAAGTATGGCAAGTGCGAATTTTGGCTCAATAGAACAATATTCCCTCAACATATAATCTAGGAGAAATGAAATTACAGTGAACCCGACTAAGGTTGAGGTGATGACTAAGTGGCCAAGATTGATGCCAATAACGGAGGTTGGCAGTGTCTTAGATTTAGCTGACGATTATCGACGTTTTGTAGAAGATTCTTGTTGATAGTCGTGCTATGGGCACGATTGATTGAGAAGAAAATCCGTTTGAATGGAATGATCACTGTGAACGGAGTTCCCAAGAGCTAAAGCGTAGGCTGATAATTGCCTCGGTATTGAATATTCAACCTGAACCGGGAGGATTCGAGGTCTATAGTGACGCTTCATTAAGAAGACTTGGGTGTGTGTTGATGCAACACGGTAGAGTAGCAAATTATGCGTCGTGCCAGTTGAGGCCACGTGAAAAGAATTACCCGACGCATAACGGAAAATTGACTGCAACACCCTGTATCGCCATGGAAAGACTGGATGAGTAATAGATACGCTAAGTCGTGAGTCGATTGGGACGTATGGGGTGATCAAGGAATGAACCTCGTTGGGAGGGCTCAGGGACTTGGAAGTTAAATTTGAGGTGAACTGGATGTGGAATCTGTTGACCGCCTTGAGGATTAGTTGGAAATCCAGGCCCAGAACAAGAAATGGCATTATGTGGATCACGAGATACGAAGAGTCATTGAGGTGAATGCCGATAAGAGGAAGTCAGATTTCCATATATTCGGGGATAGAAATCTTGAGGTTCTAGGAATGATTGTGTGTACCCGATGAGGCGAAACTCGAGGAGGAAAAATTTGAATGGAAATTTCCGCAGTAAGCATAAGGTTCACCCGAGTAGCACAAAGGTGTGTCCAGCAACGTAGGGAGTAAGAAAGAAATTTTATTTGAGACCCATGAGAGTAATTACGACGTTCACACGGGCAGTACAAAATGTGCTAGGATTTGTGGCGACACTGCCGGAAAAATGGGGTGAAAGTAAATGTGGCCAAGCTTATGACCAAGTGTGTGATGTGCCCATGAGAAAAGGCACAGCACTATAAGCCGGGAAGCCTAATGTGACCGTCGGAAATTTCCGATGTAGAAATGGGAACTTGCCCCAAAGGATGTTGTAGTGGAATTGCTGAGAAGCCAGAAAAGACACGATCCGTTGAGAGGATAGCTGATAGACCGATTAGGTCTGCGCACCTTTTGGCAGTGCGAAAGGGACTTTGAGACGGACAGATAAGTAGAGTCGTCAGAAAAATTACACGATCGGGAACGACGACTTTTAGAACTTGAGATTGGGGACCAAATGTGAGTCAAAGTGTTCCCTATGAAAAGATTGCCCTAATACGACAAGAAAGAAAGGTTGAGCCGAGGTATGTCGGATTGTTTGATATTTTGGAAAAGATTAGAAAACTGACCTATCGATTTACCTCGCCGCCTAATCTATCCTAAGTATATGACGTATTCCACCGGTCGATGTGGAGAAAATATGAACCAAATATGACCCAAGTTAAGAGAAGACAGACGTGGACGACGAAGCGTCGTACTTGGAGAGGCAAGTGTAGCTTGAGGACAGAAAGGATCATGGGTCACATAATAAGACAGTCCCAGTGGTCAAAGTGTATTGGGAGCACCAACGGACATAAGGTGCCGTTTGGGAAAAGCAAAGAGGCCATATGACGTCAAACCCCCAGTTGTTGATGAAATAAGTTTACAGTACAAATTTTGAAGATGAAATTTTTATAAGGGGGAAGAGTTGTAACATCCTGAATTTCGACCCATTTCCGGGATCTAACGAAGTGGATATTATTTCTCATTTGATTTTAGTACGTCTCGCCCGAAGCTGGCCCCTCGCGGGATACTGACCAATGGAAAAGGCTAACTAGGAAAACGGTACGTGGACCGGGGACCCGATCGCGAATCGGGCGCCGATTCCGGGAAATGGCGGGAAAGTATTTTGGGCCAGTGTGGGCCGATTTTAGGGAGGTGACGGATTTGATTTGGCCAGCCGATCGCGAATCAACCCGATCGTGAATCAACCCGGGCTTGGTGATTGGTCCTCTTTTACAGCCGTCACTTAACACAAGTGCTGCGGCAGTCGCAAATTTGGTAAATGGTAATTCAGTGGTAACCATGAAGGTTTTCCAGATTACAGAGGTCATCCTAATATTTTTTGAGCTTTATTACATCCGTTCCTTCTAATCAAGAGAATATTTTTCCTTCTAATCCGGTGCAATTTCAACTCAGGAATGCAAACTTTTCCAAATGCAAGTCTGCGACTGGTGAACGTTAAAGATGTGGCAGACGCTCATATATTGGCATTTGAGGTCCCGTCAGCCAGTGGAAGATATTGTTTAGTTGAGAGAGTTGCACACTACTCCGAGATCGTGAGGATCTTATGTGAGCTTTACCCTTCTCTCCAGCTTCCTGAAAAGTAAGCAGTTCAAGTACTAGCCATTGGTTTAGCTTTGCATGTGTACATGCACGTGTCTGAGGTCTGACTATTCCAACGTACAAGTATCGAACACTTGAGCAATCACATCGCCGCGTGCGTGGTGTGCTGTTGAGCATTGACTTCACTCGATTTTCGTATCATGATTCAGGTGAAGGTAGATGAGTTTTCCTCTAAAATGACTCGATATTTTCCACGCAGGTGCGCGGATGACAAGCCTTTTCCACCGATTTATCAGGTGTCCAAGGACAGAGCGAGAAGCCTGGGGCTCGACTACATTCCTCTGGAGCAGAGTTTGAAGGAAACCGTTGAAAGCCTGAAGGAGAAGGGACTTGTTAAATTCTGATGAATAGGAAATTCCATCCCGAGTTAGGAAAAATGTAGACGGGAGGTTTTACCTATTTGCTATCTTCTTTCATGTTTGAAAGTGTTTTATGCATGTGAACATCTTAAAGGAAGGAATCATGGGATTTTCCCTGTTCATCTTTACTCCTGTTGATAATAAGGAAAAAGAATGTTGCTGATATATGCATAAGATGGACTGAGCAATAAACAAGAGTCTTCTTATGAGGTCCCACGCCTACGGCCCAAATATTTTTTTATTGGTGCTAATAGTTTAGTAGGACAACTTCGTTTGTTTTAACTTGTTAACCCAGTTCACTGCTAGTTGTTCTAGCTCGCACCAGAATCAGAGCACAATCAGAATATCCGAATGATATGTAATCCGAGATTAATTAAACTGTTATCACCAGTTCTGATACCAAGATAGAGATAGGGAAATGGGTCAATGTCGAAGATGTTGCAAATGCTCATATAATGGCATTCGAGGTCCCATCAGCCAGACAGCGGAAGATACTGTCTCGTCAAGAGGGTTGCACACTACTCCGAGGCCGTGAAGATCTTGCGCGAGCTTTACCCTTCTCTCCAGCTTCCAGAAAAGTATGAAGTTTACCACTTACCCTCTTATGTGTGTAGTGAGCGCTGTAGGGTATCGAGGTTTCTCTTTTCAAAAGTGAATCCTCATTTCACCAGTACAGACAAGAAGGGAGTGAAGGACAAGAGGGTCTGGATTCGTACGTTCATGTTGACATTGTCGTATCTTAATTCTCCTTGTTATTTACTACAGTTAGCGTGAATTTTTGATGTCTTTGTGATGGTGCGTTGTGACAGTTGGATGAGTGGGTTCTGTGCAAGGTCTACACGCCCAAGAATGCAAAGCATTCGAAAAACGGCCAGAAATCTGATCATCCGCCAAAGGAGAGGAACGAACAGAACCGTGATCAGCCAAACGGCAACAGCGACAGTGCCCCGATGACCCCGGCAAGAATCAATGCCGGAAAAAGGCTATTAATGGCTACTTGCAAGACCTTCAACCCATGCCAAATCACGAGCTCAACACGAGCCAACAAGTCCCGAGACCAACCAACCGGCCTACAGTGTTCTGCCATATCACAACCGTACGCACCCCAACTTTATGGCACATCGTACGAGCTCCGAGTGGGATGCGGATCAGCTTGCATCTACAAGTTCAGCATATGGTCATACAGCCCGCGAGCCTCGGGCCTCTTATTTGGTAGCCGACCGGCAATTCTCCTCCCGAAATCACATCCAAGCAGAAGCTCTTGGCTTCCGGCGCAATCCACTCACTAAAAATCCTCGTCGAGTAGTGGTGAATAACTTTGCCAATTTAATTACCATCAACTCGTATCATTCGTTATAGCATCGTACGTGATTAGATATACAAGCGAGCTCTTATGATAATACCATTGACTCTATCTGTGATCAGCGGTTGAAATAGGAGGTTTTACAAGAAATAGGATGATTAATTTACTCATATGATTTTGATAAATTATTTCTTCTTATCATGCTCGTAGATTTTTTTGGGTCACAAAATATGCTCCTCGAACGTTTTTTTAACGCAAAGGAACTTAACTTCAGATATCGTGAAAAGATTTATGTATCGTGGATAGATAATTCTATATTTGATAAAGATGCTTGGTACAAACCCTTGCAAATTGGAGAAGTGTAGGGTAAGGAACCCCAATAAACATGTCATTACTCAGTTTTATTAATGAAAGATGAGGGCAAAGGAGCAGGAAGATCTATGATCCCTGCCTTCCTTCACCTTGTTCATATTGCAAAAACACTGATAGCATGGGAACCAACAGCCAGTACAGTGGGTGAAAAGCCTCCCACCCACTTACATTGTTAACTTGGGAAAACTCGAAAATTATTCTCTCAGAATTTAACAAACTCCTTCTCCTTCAGGCTTTCAACAGTTTCCTTCACACTCTGCTCCAGGGGAATGTAGTCGAGGCCCAAGCTTTTCACTTTCTCCTTGGACACCTGGAAGATGGGCTTGAAAGGCTCGTCGTCCGCACACCTGCGAAGGAGACGATTTCGAGTAAAAAATCAGCTATCTCCCTCAGGAAGCAAACAGACGCGAGATAGACATCATCATGGGAAAGATGAGTCGTAGACTATGTAACTTATCGTTCGTGCCTAGTTAGCAGCCATACATCATACTCTTCCGAAAACCTTGATACTCTACAGCTCACTACCCACATGACAGGGTAAATGGTAAAAGGTCTAGATACTTACTTTTCTGGAAACTGGAGAGAAGGGTAAAGCTCACGCAAGACCCTCACGATCTCGGAGTAGTGTGCAACCCTCTCAACCAGACAGTATCTTCCACTAGCCGACGGGACTTCGAATGCCAGTATATGAGCATTTGTGACATCTTTGACATGGACCCATCCAATACTTGTATTTCGAAAAGTTGGTGCACCTGAGTTGGAATCACTGCTAAATTGGTAACTTGGTACGATTAAATAATCACATTTGTCAAGAAGTTACGACAGTAAACATTCATCATTCCCCCCCTTGAATAGTGACTCCCGACTGATAAAACTGAATTGGAATGGTAAAGATACAAAATAGCAGCGCCAACTTCCTCGTTAGTTAAGGCGGAGAGCTGTTTGTCGATGCAATTGTACATGATTGATGCGATGGAAAAACGAAACAACTCTGTAATCTGGAGAACTTTCACAGTTGCGCTAAATTACCATTTATCAAGTGTGCGATCGCCGCAGCACTTGTGTTGAGTGTTGGCTGCAGAAGAGGACCAATCACCATAGCTGGGTTGATTGTAACCATGTCAATGCCCTTTTCTTTCACAAATTTCCAGGCAGCGTCCTCAGCCAAAGTCTTGGAGAGCACATACCACATCTACAAAGGGGCAAAAATTAGAGACATATAATGCATTCATGACGAAAAAGAAAGCCACTTCCAAATTTGATGCCGTTATGATAACCACTGAGATGTAACAAAATGATAGGGACAAACTCCTCCACCAATCACCCAGCTGGATTTGTGGTTAACATCATCTTAGCACCAGTAGAAAATAATACATGAGGCAATAAAATTAAACTGGACAAGATGCGTACGTTCATTTGCCTGCAAAAGTCTGCATCAGAAAACCAACTTTCATCCACCACAACATCAGGTGTCAGCGGTCTTCCATTGCACTGAACTGCAGCCATAGATGATGTCAAGACCACGCGCTGCACAGAAGGTGTTTTGGAACATGACTTCAGAACGTTAAGAGTTCCCTTCACAGCAGGATCAAGTAGTTCTGCCTGAAATATGATAACAATTAATTAGCCAAAAGAGATAAGATAGATGAAATAATGAGAGACTAAATTGTGTTACTACATGTCATAAAATCTTTTAGTACATACCTAGAACTTGAATTATAAATCCTACTTAAGTTTTTTCCCCTCGCCAAGTCAAGGTTTCTCAGTGAGGAACAGCCAGCATTTTGACATCCATAATCTTAAAATATGACAAAGACAAGGGCATGGTACAAGGCAAGGCTACATGTTTGACTTGGTATGAAGTGCTCATTTGGCACTAATTAGCAAGGCGCGGCATGTTTTAGTCATGTTAACTGATTACGTTACACATCATGTAAATAAGAAATGAAATGCTGAAGGATTTAATTGGTATCAGAAATAATGTCAACTTATATAATGGAGCCACCTCATTAGTAAATCAAAATTCAAGCTATCACTCAACCCCATCAAACTTCACGAAATTCAATTTGGTACATATTCAATAATAGAAGGATCTCCATTGGTTCTGTGTAGTTCTAGTCAGAGAACTAAACAGGAGCGACCAAGTTAATGAACTTGGTTATGGTTAATATTGAATAAATTCCTACCCTCTCAGGATAAGCATGAAGCATGCTAGTTGGCCTCAATAAATAAAATTGTGGCAGAAAACGATTAATGAAAAAGGGAAAAAAAAAACTACTCTGCTAGGAGTAGTGTATGAATTCTGGAACCAAACCTGCGGATCCTTGACATCATCATAAAAGGGCGAGGCAGTGTGAAAAACGCCTGCACAACCCTCAACAATAGGATCGAATGAACCCTCTTCCAGCAGGTTTGCTTTGAACAGTTGAAGTCTCTCCTTCGCTCCATCAAGTGCAAGCAGATGTTCAGTCTTTTTTGGATCATCTGTTGGAGAGACAAGAAGAATAACTGTAAATGAGCTGTTTGGATATAAGGAAAGCCGCAAAATTCAATGACCATAACTCATCCACTAAACTGGAATGGCTCGAGTCAGACAACATCATGGCTCTTCAACAAAAGTTCGAATGAATTCATTTTCACGAATGTCAGAGATATCTGGTTTTTTCACCAGAAGAGCATGGCACTGTTATTGAAATTTGAAAACCTCGTGTAACAATACCGAGAGAACAAACCCAAGATCTTGTAACTTTTTTGAAGATTCCTGAATATATGTTCTCTTTCATTTGCCTTGCCTACCAATGCAGGATTGAATTCGAATAACAGCCGCAAGATCACTCTTAATATAACCAAATACAAGCCATAAAGTATAACGAGCATACCACAGAATTCATGACCTCGTTGGGGAATGTGTTCGGAGCTGGCAAAACAATCCTAACTAAGGCACAATGACCCCAGTTCTGGAAGAATAACCTCGCATTCGGCATGTGCAGGCGAAATGAAAAAAGGTTTATTCAGATTGATTATACCTCTAACCACCCTCATCTGGTAATCAAGAATCTCACGAGATGACTCCTCTATACTCTCGAAATGCTCGAAAAAGAAGCAGAAGGAAAACCTTTCTACAAAGCACGTCGTTGGAAAAAAAAACCATACAGAAACTGCTTCACTTGGCCACAGTCTGAAACTGCACATGCACGAAATTCATCCACGACATAGAATTACACGAAATGACGACGAAGTAGACCACATCACACAAATATACACACAACGCGAGAGAGAGAATCAAGACCATCAGGAAGCAAAGTCAGTCTATCAGGGACAGTTGATGGTCGCTTATCGCGCAAAAAGGCATGGCTCGAAGCAAAAACGAACTCGAACGAAAACAGAAACACGAGTTGAATAGAGAACGGACTCAGATCGCGAACGGAGGCCTTGACGGTGTAGCCACGCTCCAAGAGGAGCTTGACGAGCCACGAGGCGATGTAACCGGACGCTCCGGTCACGCACACGACCTTCCCGGCACCGACCGTCGCGCTCATTTTCGTCCTTCTCCTATTCTTCTAGTCCTTCTTCGTTTCGAGGAGGTGGAGGTGGCTCTCGCTCTGCAGTTGCAGTTGAAGTTGGCGAGCAACCACGAGTGCTCTTTATAGCAGAGCCCCCGCGCGGTTCAATGTCCCATTTCAAAAACGCGGGCGCCCGTCGGCGCCGACCCAAGCGCAACGCCACGTGGCGGATGTTCTTCTAGGGGGGGTTTAATTGTCGGTGTGACGTGTCGGCGTACGCAATTTAAGCCAAGCCTTACGTCATCACTCGAGTAAATCGAGCGAGAGTGGCCAACTTGTATATCTCCTCTCTCCTAGCCCTGCCACTTTTATCTTGTCATTACGTGAAGATGTTAAAAGGAAAATGGTGAATATCACGAAAAATTTTAAATTGATATATTTGTGATAAATTTATTCGAAATTAATTTTTAAATCACTAAAAACTTTAATTGGTACATCCGTAATAAATTTACTTCTTCGTCGCCTTTCATTATATTTTACTCACAAATTTATGAATTAAATGACACGAGGCAATTGACGTATTTGTTTCGGGTTTTACCCTTCATTTGTCACGTGTGTAATAATTTGTGATTTTCGTGGTATTATCTAATATAACGGAGAGTAAATTTGTCACAAATGCACTAATTTTAGGTTTTTGGTAGTCAAAAAATTAGTTTTGGATAAATTTGTTACAGGTATACCAGCTTAGGGTTATGCGTGGTTAAAAAAATAAGTTTTGAGTAAATTTATCATATGTGTATCAATCTGGGGTTTTTTGTGGTATTAACCTAAAAGAAAACTCAGTGAGTGAACTTGTATAATTTTACAAAGAAAAAAAAAAGGAGAAAACTAATTGAGTTTTTTTTTATATAAATATATGAGTTAATGCCACCGAAAATCCCAAACCGACACACTCTTGCCACATTTGCCCTAGTGTTTGTGCCCATAAAAAATCTCAAACCGATATACTCGTGCCACATTTATCAAAGAAAAAAATCTCGAACCAGTACATCCGCATCACATTTACCCCAAATTGGTGCATGCCATATTTTTGTGACACGAAAATTAATTCAGGGTAAATGCGTCACGAGTGTATCGAGAGTTTTTGCAACACAATAATTAATTTGGGAAAATGTGGCACGGGTATATTCATTTGGGAGATTTTAGTGGTATTAAACAAAGTTTCCGGTTTTTCATATATTCTCTCCGACAGGAAAAGACTAACAAAGAGCAAAAGATGCATCCTTTGAGAGATTTTTTTGATGCATGGTGTCTGTACCTTTTGTTTCTTTGGAGTCTGGCCGATTCCTTTCATCTTATTTCTATTTTTTTTTTTTAAGTTTCCGAATTTAGTAGTGGTAATGAAATTTGAAGTTGTTGACGGCTACCGACAAGCATGCAGTCGAGCTGCATGACGTTCCTGCTGACCCAATTTAGGCCAATCTTAACATCACTCGATATGGAATTGTTTTATGACGTGGACCGTGGGGCAGCCTGAGTTGTATCCAATCGTTTTGGTGACTACATCAATAGTCAATAGTCAACATTTTGCTTACGCCCCCCAAAAAAAAAGTCAACATTTTATAGTAATCAACGATGAGACATCACTCAAGATGGGGGTTAGTACAGTAAAAAATCCCAAACTGTAACGTGCACGACGATATTTATCAAAATTTATTGTCGTTGCCACAAAAAATTCTGGAATGATACACCCACGACGCATTTGTCTCGGATTAATTTTTGTATCATAAAAAAACATAAACTGGTGTATCGTGATAAATTCACACTTCACTAGATTCCATCTAGTATCTCGTTGAATTTCTGACGTGGAAACACAGATGGTGAGCTGCTTGTCCGATTCGGATCCAACGTGAAAATTCAGCATAAATGGCTTTTACAAAGGACGTTGCCTTAGAAATTCAAGCTCGTTATCCCAATCTTGCGAGGAAGAGAAAAATCTCGAAAAGAGTTATGGGCTGTCTCAAAGCGAGTATTAGAATCCTTGGCAACATATGTCTTCGTAATTTATGAAGCCTTGTAAATTCTCCCTCACTTTATATATATCTGGTAGTGCAAATAGAAACTCCTCTCCATTCTTGCCGTCTCCAGTAGCTTTCTTTCCAAACAAGAGCTCCCTCGCATTTTGCAATTTTGCTGAAATCCCTAATTTTACCTTGAGATTTTGGTGATTTAGGAGAGAATGAGCGAATTCAATTTTGCCCTAATTCCCAATTCCAATTCATTTTCTTCGGATTTAATTTCCCCATGACGATGTCATTAAAAGAACCGTTTATGTTGAATTTCCAAGTCGGATTCACGTCAAACGAAGTACTTGTCACACGTTTGTTTTCACACAGCAACTATCACTTGTCAAGCTCCTCCTGCAATGTGTCTACACCATCAACGCCTCAGTTCACGATCCAAGTACATTCTCGCTCCTCTCCTTTCTATCTTCCTTCAAGGTTGGTTCTCTCTTATTCGGTTGTTTTGGTGATAATTTGTCGTGAAAACACACGTGACAAGTGACTTGTTTGACGTGGATCAGACATGGAAATTCAACAAAAACAGTTCATGGGGAAACGAGATCCAAAGAAAATGAACTGGAATTGGGAATTAGGGCAAAATTGAATCTGCTCACTCTCTCCCAAATCACCAAAATCTTAAGGTAAAATTAGGGATTTCAGCGAATTTGCAAAATGAGAGGGAGCTCTTGTTTGGAAAGGAAGCTGCTGGAGATGGCAAGAATGGAGAGGAGTTGCTATCCGCGGCCATCAAGATGGCGATACTACTGGATAGAGATAAAGTGAGGGAGAATCTATGACTATGAGGCTTCATAAGTTGCGAAGACATACATTGCTAGGATTCGAATGCTCGCCTTAAGACGGCCCATGACTCTTTCCAAGATTTTCTCTTTCTCACAAGATTGGGATAACGAGCTTGAATTTATAAAACAACGCTCTTTGTAGAGAGCCATTTATTTTGAATTTCCACATCGGATCCGTGTGGGGCAAGCTGCACACCATGTGTGTTTCCACGTCACTAATTTTAACGGGACGTCGGATGAAAATTAGTTAAGTGTAAATCTGTCAAGGGTGTAACAGTTTACTATTTTTGGCGGTACCATTCAAGAAATGACATCGCACTGTTGATTACTATAAATATTGACTATTGACTATTGATGCAGTCGCAAGAATGATTGGATCTAACACGGCGGCTCCGCACAGTCCACAGCACATGACAATTCATATTGAGTGATGTTAAGATTGGCCTAAATAGGGTAAGCAAGATCGTCATGCGTCTCCATAGCCGTCAACAACTTCAATCTTCATTGCCACGAGTAATTTCGGAAATTATATAAAAAATAACAAGAAAATAAAAAGGAAGTGTCGAGACAAAAAGTAAAGATACCATTACGGCCCCGTTTGGTTCAGCTTTGGGAAGGGGCTTTCGGGGTCAAAAGCCCCTTCCCAAAATGCTGAACCGTTTGGTTCAGCATTTGGAGAACGGAAAGCCGAAAGTTAGCATTTGGGATGCTGAAAGCCTAAAGTTGGTCCGGACCAGCTTTGGGCTTTAAGCATCCCACAAATGCTGAAACCTATTTTTTCTTTTCCAAATTGTCTTCACTCAAATTTCTTTATTCCGGTTTTGCCCCTGTTACTGTTTATCTTCTTCACCGCGAGGGTGGCCGGCGAGGGTGGCCGGCGAAAGGCCGGCGAGGTCGCCCGACCCAAGCGACGTCGGCCTGGGTCGCGACCTCAGGCGGCCGTCACCTGGGGTTGCGCGACCTCAGGCAGCCGTCGCCGGAGTCGCGCGACCCAAGCGACGGCCGCCTGGGTGGCGCAACTCCGGGCGACGGCCGCCTGGGTCCCGACCCAGGCCGACGTCGCCTGAGGTCGTGCGACCCAGGCAACGGGGCCTAGGCGGTCGCCCGACCCCAGGAGGCCGTCGCCTGGGTCGGGTGACCTCGCCGGCGCTTCGCCAGCCACCCTCGTCGGCCAAATCTGCCCTCGCCGGTGAAGAAGATGAACAGTAATAGTGACAAAACCGGAATATTAAAACTAAAAATTGCCAAAGCTCTTTGCAAAAAAAAATTTACCAAACATTACTTAGGCCAAAGTAGCTTCACAAATTTTTTTTTACCAAACACCACTTACATTTCCCCAAGTGGCTTTCACCTAAAGGTATTTGCATTCCCCCGAGTTACATTTGAAAAGCCGAACCAAACGGGCCCTACATCCAAAACAGGCCTAGCAATTAGCATGTCTCAATGGAAGCATCTTTCACTCCATCAGTCTTTTTCCTTGTCGAAAAAAAAAATTATGGAGACCGAAAGAAAACAAAAATCAATAGTTTGGACATTATTTTGTTGTTATTCGAGAAAATTTGTTATATGCACAAGGCATTTTCCGATTCTATTTAGGGTTAATATCACGAAAAATTTACAAACCATTATATTTGTGCCACGTTTACTCCAAATTAATTTTTGTAATGCAAAAAACTCCCGAACTGATACAGTTAAATATAAGAATTGCGGAAAAGAGAAATGTGAGAAATTATATATATTTCGATATATTATAATAAATAGTGCATCAGCCTATTTATAGGTTTTTATGAGAAACTATCAAAGGCAATGTCTATCAATAAAGATATGCACAATCAAAGGGGATATTGCACAATCTTGAGAGATACAGAAAATCAACAGAAACATTTTAATTATCTATAATATAGGAAAATATTATAGAGAATTATCTTAATTATCTCTAACAGATAAGTCTATGCCACATTTGCCTCGGACTGGTATAGTCGTACTCGTACCGGGATTTGTTTTAGGGTAAATGTGGCAACGAGTGTAGCATGGGTATATCGATTGGAGATTTTTTATAATAAAAAATTAATTTAGGGTAATTGTGGTATATACCCATTTGGGATTTTCTGTGATATTAATCTTTCCATTTATATGAAGAAACTCTAATACGCTTTGCTTTTGTTTACTAGTGATTTTATACAAATTCACTCACGGAGTTCTTTCTACTTCGATAAGGTTTGGCAGACGCGTATATAATTCAAAACGAGCCAGGGTCTTATTATTTATTTTTTTTACTTTTTCGAGTCATTGGTCAATAGCAGTGAAATCATCACAATTAGAGATTAGTATGTGAACGATATCTCTCCGTTTGATTATTCTCATCATTGATATAAGTCACTGAATCGATACAAAGTGGTAAGTCTGCTATAAGAGAGGAGACGTATAACTTGGTGACTCGAAAATTCAATTTTAATTGAGTGATGACGTAAAGCCTGGCTTAAATTCCGTAAGCCGACGCGTCATACCGACAATTAAACCCCCCTTTAAAGAATATAAAAATACTTATTAAAAAAATACCTTGCGACTTCGGAGTGGGTCCCCTTCACATCCCACGGCCGATATGGCGCCACGTGGCGTCGCTCCTTTCCACGCGCGTCAGCGTTTTTCGGAAATGGATATTGAAAAGCGCACCCTGCTCCTCTATATAAGGGCGCCCGGGCGTTGCACGCCAACAGCAACTGCAGCTGCGGAGCGATAGCCGCTGCCTCCTCGAGACGAAGAAGAAGAAGAAGAAGGGCAAGGAGGACCGGAGGAGACGAAGATGAGCGCGGCGATCGGTGCCGGGAAGGCCGTGTGCGTCACCGGAGCGTCCGGCTACATCGCCTCGTGGCTCGTCAAGCTCCTCCTGCAGCGCGGCTACACCGTCAAGGCCTCCGTTCGCGATCCCAGTCCGTTCTCGATCCCTCTCGTTTCCGCTTCTCGTCTCGAGTTTGGTTTTTTTCCGGCTTCGAGCCGTGCCTTTGCGTGACGAGCGGCCGTCGATCGTCCCCGATCGACTGATTTTGCGTCCCGATGGTCTTGATTCTCTCTCTCTCTCTCGCGTTGTATGCATATTCGTGCGGCGCGGCCTATTTCGTCGTCGTCGTTTCGTGTAGTTCTATGTCGTAGATGGATGTTTCGTGCATATGCAGTTTCGGACAGTGGCCGGGTGAAGTAGTTTCTGTTTTGGCTGGATTGCTTTGAAGTAATCGAGGTTTTAGCAGCTGAGTAGTGGGGTTTGACTGAAACTGGGGGTGTAGTTGGTTTTTTTTTTCCTTCTGCTTCTTTTCGAGCATTTCTAGAGTATGGAGGAGTCATCTCGTGAGATTTTTGATTACCAGACGAGGGTGGTTAGAGGTATAATCAATCTGAATAAACCTTTTTTTCTTTTGGCCTGCACATGCCGAATGCAAGGTTTATTCTTCCAGAACTGGAGTAGTTGTGCCTTAGTTAGGATTGTTTTGCCAACACGTTCCTCAACGAGGTCATGATTTGTGTGGTGCGCTGGTTATCTTTTGTGGCTTGTATTTAGTTATATCAAGAGTGATCTTGCAGCTGTTATTCGAATTCAATCCTGCATTGGTAAGGCAAATGAAATGGAACATTCAGGAATCTTCTAAAAAGTTACAAGATCTTGGGTTTGTTCTCTCGGTACTGTTACATGAGGTTTTCAAATTTCTGTAAGAGTGCCATGCTCCGAATCATTTAGTTTCTGGGGAAAAAACCAGATTTATTCGACTTTCATGAAAATGCCTTCATTCGAACTTTTGTTGAAGAGCCATTATGTTGTCTGACTCGAGCCATTCCAGTTTAGTGGATGAGCTATGGTCATTGAATTTTGCGGCTTTCCTTATATCCAAATAGCCCATTTACAGTGATTCTTCTTGTCTCTACAATAGATGATCCAAAAAAGACTGAACATCTGCTTGCACTTGATGGAGCGAAGGAGAGACTTCAACTGTTCAAAGCAAACCTGCTGGAAGAGGGTTCATTTGATCCTATTGTTGAGGGTTGTGCAGGCGTTTTTCACACTGCCTCGCCCTTTTATCATGATGTCAAGGATCCGCAGGTTTGGTTCCAGAATTCATACACTACTCCTTGCAGAGTAGTTTTTTTCGCTTTTTCATTAGTCCTTTTTTGCCACATTTTATTATGTTGAGGTCAACTAGCATGCTTCATGCTTATCTGGAGAGAGTAGGAATTTATTCGATATTAACCATAACCAAGTTCATCAACATGGTCACTCCCGTTTAGTTTTGTTATACTTTAGCTTTGCCTTTTGATTACCAAAGGGAATGAAGGGTGCCTGGAAACTGTAGTTGAAGTGACTGTACTCTTCTGCTCTTTGATTTGCATAATCTGATATTCTCATCAAGCACATCTCTCACCACCTTCTAATGTACAGCTTTGCAAAGTGTTTGTGAAAATTGTTTAGGATCAATTCTATGCAGGATTTTAATTTGTTCGGCTTATCTTTTGGTTGTTCGCTTGTATACCTCTACTCTAGTATCCGCTAATGTATTCTCTTTTTAGTGCGATAATAGTTTGGTTGTCTATCTCATTATGTTTCCTTACATTCATAAGTTACAGGCAAGGAAATAAGAGTCCTAGGACCTTACATAATTTTTCCCTCAGACTCAGAAAGATTTAAATGTTCATTTATTTCGTGACATCTTTTACTTGATAATTGATGATAACAAAACCTGTTTACGACTAGATTTCTCTCGACTTGGATATATTTCTTTTATGAACGAGCGGGATCATAGAGTAGCGTGTTCACTTCTGTCAGTTTTTGTGTATTGGGAGAGAAACGTCATTTATATGGGGACCTCCCTCATACTTGCGCTACTTACAATGATACGTACAACTAGTTCTCTGACTAGAACTACACAGAACCAATGGAGATCCTTCTATTATTGAGTACGTACCAGGTTAAAGTTTGTGAAGTTAGGCAGAGTTGAAAGATATTTTGAATTTTGATTTACTAATGAGGTGTCTCCATGATATAAGTGGACTATGTTTTTGATACTAATTAAATTCTTCAGCACTTTATTTCTTATTTACGTGATGTGTTAGGTAATCAGTTACAAGACTAAAACATGTCATATTTCCTGAGTGCCTTGCTAATTAATGCTTGTCTATCCAGGCCAAATGAGTATGTCAAAGGTCTTCAATGGGAAGTTTCCTCTAGATTTATTTTTTTCAGAAAATACTGATCATTAAGTCAAATATGTAGCCTTTCCTGATCCCATGCCCTTGTCTTTGTCATATTATAAGATTATGGATGTCAAAATGCTGGCCGTTCCTCACTGAGAAACCTTGAATTGGTGAGGAGAAAAAACTTAAGTAGGATTTATAATTCAAGTTCTAGGTATGTACTAAAAGATTTTATGACATGTAGTGACACAATTTAGTCTCTCATTATTTTATCTATCTTATCTCTTTTGGCTAATTAATTGTTATCATATTTCAGGCAGAATTACTTGATCCTGCTGTGAAGGGAACTCTTAATGTCCTGAAGTCATGTTCCAAAGCACCTTCTGTGCAGCGTGTGGTCTTGACATCGTCTATGGCTGCAGTTGCATACAATGCGAAACCGCGGACACCTGATGTCGTGGTGGATGAAAGTTGGTTTTCTGATCCAGACTTGTGCAGGCAAACCAACGTACGCATCTTGTCCAGTTTAGTTAAATTGTCTCATGTATTATTTTCTACTGTTGCTGGGATGATCAACATGAGTTGAAATGTCAAAATGCACTGTTTACAACTCCTCTTAAAGTGATCTTTCCCATTTTATATTTCTGGTTATTGACACAAACCAGCGGGCTGGTTGGGGGAGTTGTTCCATTACGTTTTGTTACATCTCAGTGGCTTTTATTACGGCATCAATTTGGAAGTGGCTTTCTTTTCTGTCATGAATGTATTATATCTCTCTAATTTTTGCCCCTTTGTAGGCGTGGTATGTGCTCTCCAAGACTTTGGCTGAGGATGCTGCCTGGAAATTTGTGAAAGAAAAGGGCATTGACATGGTTACAATCAACCCAGCTATGGTGATTGGTCCTCTTTTGCAGCCAACACTTAACACAAGTGCTGCGGTGGTTGCAAATTTGATCAATGGTAATTCAGCAGTAACTGTTCTCCAGATAACAGAGTTGTTTTGTGTTTCCATTGCATCGATCTTGTATGATTGCATTGACAAACAGCTCTCTGCCCTAACTAAAAAGGAAGCTCGCACTGCTATTTTGTTTCTTTACCATCCTAATTTAGTTTTATCTGTTGGAAGTTATTATTTGAGAGGAGGAAAGATGAATATTTACTATTGTAACTTCTTCACAAATGATGACTATATAATTGTACCGATTTACCAATTTAGTTGTGAGGTGTTAGCAAAATCTCTCCTATTCGGTAAAGTCCTGATTTTTCCTGGGAGAAAGGAGAAAGGATATGAAACTTGTGAAGTATGTGCTGTGGTCAATGTGGATATATTTATTTTTGTTGAATTGAGGTACACCATCACCCACTTCATTGTCGTCAATTTTCTGCTTGTGTTTTCACCATACATTAGCCATCCTTGTTAAATGCAGCCTATTTTTTTTTTAAGCTTTGCTGTATCCCTTGTAACCAGGAGTATTTTAGTTTGATATCCATTCTGCTTGTGCTTCCTCCTCAGGTGCACCAACTTTTCCAAATTTAAGTTTTGGATGGGTCAATGTCAAAGATGTTGCAAGTGCTCATGTACTGGCATTTGAGGTCCCATCAGCCAGTGGAAGATATTGTTTAGTTGAGAGGGTTGCACACTACTCCGAGCTTGTGAGGATCTTACGCGAGCTTTACCCTTCTCCCCAGCTTCCAGAAAAGTAAGTAGTTAGACCATTACCTGTACGTGTATAGTGAGCTGTAGAGTATCAAGGTTTCTCTATTGTCGTGTGAAGGTAGACAAGTTTTTCTTGGGAAATCATGCGCTGCTGATTTACACGATTTTCTTTTTTAACTTTAATTTCTGGTGGTAGAAACTTTTGGAGTTACCATCTCACACACGCACACCCCGCGCGCGCGCGCACACACACACACATATATATATATATATATATATATATATATATATATTTGAAAGTGTTACCAATGACTAAGATGTGTGCTTGTTAACTAGGCACGAATGGTGAGTTACTAAGTCCACGTCTCATTTTTCGCATGATGTCTATCTTGCCTCTATTTGCTTCCAAGGGAGATAGCTGATTTTGCTTGAAATTCGCCTTCGCAGGTCTGCGGACGACAAGCCTTTCGTGCCGATCTATCAGGTGTCCAGGGAGAAAGTGAAAAGCTTGGGGATCGATTACATTCCGCTGGAGCAGAATTTGAAGGAAACTGTGGAAAGCCTGAAGGAGAAGGGATTTGTTAAAGTCTGATAGAAAATTTTCCCTGGTCAAACATGTGAATGGGAGGCTTTTCCCCTACTCGCTGTTTCTTCCCATGAAGTGTGCGTTTGCATATGAACATTGGTAAAGGCAGGAATCATGAATCTTCCTGCTCCTCTGTCCTCATCTTCGTAATAATAAAACAATGAAATACCCGTCAAGATGCGTTCTTTCTCAATCGTCGCTGAATCAGGACGCGCCGAGTGTCCAACCGACGGTGATCTTCTTATTAGGTCCACGGTCAATGGTTTGCTTGAAGGGCGTCCGAGATTATCCCTTCACGAAATTCTCGCCAATCCTCGGTTATTTATAACTTTTTAGAGCTTTCAAGTTTAAACCCTTTTATAGTTAACATAACAATCAGTTCTAGTTTGACCTAAAAATCAGTTTTAGAGGCAATGTGACCTCGTTGAATCGTAGTGACAGTATGATCATATAATCTGGCAACACGACAGCACAGAAGGTCGTTTGAAATCAGTTTTAGAGGCAATGTGACCTCGTTGAATCGCAGTGATAGTATGATCATATAATCTGGCAACACAACAGAACAGAAGGTCGCTTGATCCTATAGTGCAAAGCGCAGTCGAACGGTCTTCGAGTATGAAATTCCTCTTTTTTCGCATATTATTTTTTCTCTAAATGGCGCGACCCTGACGGACTAGCCGAGGTAAAATTGAAACACGTCTGAACTTCGACTTTTGACCACATTTCTGACAGGTGTCGATCACCGTATGGTTTAATACAAATCCTACGTGGTATATTTAATGCACCTAATATTTTCTCCCTGCCCCATACCCCCGGCCGACACGTCGGCTTCCAGCTCACCAATAGAATGGTGCGCCCCCCTCAATTACATGTTTTCTTGTCGTTCCTTATCATACAATTCTCTAATTTGCATTGCATCTAAGAGTTTGTACCGAGCATCGTTATCAAACACATAATTATCTATCCTCAATACATAGATTTTGTCACGATTCCAAAGTTAAGTTTCTTTGCGCGTTATTTTCTGACGCTCAAGAAGCATATTTTGGGTATCCGTCCAAAAACAATCTAAGAGCATGACGAGAAAAAAGAATGGTCAAAACCACACGAGTGAATTAATCAACCTTGAGTGTCAATGTATATCATAAGAGCTCGCTTGCATAGTAATCACCTATAATTTGGTGACGAATGATATGAGTTGGTGCCGACTAAATCGTGGAAGTTATACACCGCCACCGGACGAGGATTTTGGCTGAGTGGATCACCCCGGAAGGCAAGAGCTTCCGCTTGGGTGGGATTCGGGAGGAGGATTGTCGGTCAGCTGCCAAATAGGAGGCCTGAGATAGCTCGCGGGCTGCGTGACCACATGCTGAACTGGTAGATGCAAGCTGATCCGCGTCCCACTCGGGCGATGTGCCGCGAAGTTGGGGTGCGAATGGCTGCGATAAGGCAGAACATTGTAGGCCGGTTGATTGGTCTCCGGACCGCCGAGAGCACTGATCTGAGAACTCTGAGGCGGCTGATAATTGTTGGCCACGTCGACTTGCCGGCTCGTCTTGAGCTCGTGATTTGGCACGGATTGAAGCTCTTGCAAGTAACCATCATTAACAATAATAGCCTTTTTCAGGCCTTGATTCTTTCCGGCCGTCGTCGGGGCATTGTCACTGTTGTCGTTCGGCCGATCATGATTCTGTTTGTTCCTCTTCTTTGGTGGATGATCAGATTTCTGGCCGTTCTTCGAATGCTTTGCATGCTTGGGCGTGTAGACCTTGCACAGAACCCACTCATCCAATTGCCACAATACAACATCACAAAGACATCAAAATTCACGCTAACTGTAATGGCAAGGAAAACTAACATACTATGATGTCAACATGAACGTGTGAATCCAAACCCTCTCGTTCTTCACTCCCTTTCTCTTATCTGTACTGGTGTGGCTCCTCTTCTCGTCCTCCTCCAATCTATACTCATGCATATTCAAGGCTGTTACGTCGCTTCGTTTTTCCGAGGTTCCTCGTAGAAAGGCCAACGACCTCTTGTATCCAATCGTTTCGTTCTTCATCAGGACGATGCTATCCTTCCTGGCCGCCTTCCAAACCCCGCCAGGCGTGCAACGATTCGGCCGCGACCCGTTCGGATACTTCCTGTCCCTCGGATTGAAGAAGTACCACTCCTCCTCATCTTTGCCCGCTCCCTTGCGGTTCTCTGGAGAATCGTAGAAACGAGTTGCATCAGAGTAATTTCTTTAGCATTTCCATGCACGTAGTTTCTCATAATATAAACGAGCGATTGCAATCTCACGTAAGCACGAGCTTGCACTGACACGAACTTATACAAAGAATTTGCCACCCAGTTTCTAATTAAGGAAGGATCAAAGAAAGGCCAAGAAAGTCAAAGAAAGAGAAAACCAAACAAAGCTCAAAGAACGCCGAGAAATTCAAAGATGTACGTACCAATGAGCTTTCTGGGGTCGAACTTGTAGAGATCGACGTCGGCGAAGAAGCCGCTGAGCGGAAACGGATCGCACATGACTTCGGGCTTCAAGTAATAGAGAATGAGCTCCTCGTCCGTGGGTGGGAACTCGAGCGGAAACTCGAGCAGGAACTCGGCCTCAGATGACAGCGGCAGCGGCGCGTCGCCACCAAGGTCTCGGCGAAGAGGGCACGCATGGGTCGACACCAACTTTCGTTTGACCATCCACACGCATTCCCTTAGGCCGATCATCCCAATCACCGTCACGGCTCTGATCGTTATTCTCCATCGTCGGTGTCGCGAAAAACAAGCGATCGAATAATAAAATAAATAGGTGAAAAATCATCACCCGCCTATTATATGTACACAAGTAATATTTGAATCCAAAATAACAGATCCTTTTAACTGATTTAAACTGGAAAACCTACTCAACTTTAAGAATTCAATTCCAAGGTGGAAAATATCTTTGTAATTCCTTGATCATTAATAAGATTATTTATCAACATTCACTTCAGCGCTTCGAGATTAATGAGATGTTTGGGTAAATTTCGAGGCACGGAAGTATCCTAAAGCTTGAACACCTTCAATTGCAATTCTTCATGCATCTTGGTTGGGGGGTGAATTCGCCCAATTAAAAGTTTAAATTATCAAATGAGATTACGAAAAGGAAACAAAACGAAATCAATAGTTGGAAATTATCTTATCGTCGTTCAAGAAACTTTGGTTGATGCATGGGGGGAGGGGGCATTACGTGGGACCCCAACTAAATTTTTTTTATTTATTACGGTAAGCCAAACCCTCGTACCGACGATTAATATAAAAATCAATAGTTAGAAAGGTTTTCCTTCGGCTTCTTTTCCGAGCATTTCTATAGTATAGAGGAGTCATCTCGCAAGATTATTGATCACCAGATGAGGGTGGCTAGAGATATAATCAATCTAATTAAACCTTTTTTTTTTTTGGCCTGCACATGCCGAACGCAAGGTCATTTTTCCAGAACTAGAGTAACTGCGCCTTAGTTAGGATTGTTTTGCCAGCTCCGAAGACATTCCTCAATAAGATCGTGATTTGTGTGGTATGCCAGTTATCTTTTATGGCTTGTATTTGTTTATATTAAGAATGATCTTGCAGCTGTTACTCGAATATCATTCCTGCATTGGTAGGCGAGGCAAATGAAAGAGAACATTCAGGAATCTTTGAAAAAGTTACGAGATCTTGGGTTACATGAGGCTGTCAAATTTCAATAACAGTGCCATGCTCCAAATCATTTAGTTTCTGGGGAAAAAGCCAGATATCTTCGACTTCCGTGAAAATGGCTTCATTCGAACTTTTGTTGAAGAGCCGTGATGTTGTTTGACTCGAGCCATTCCAGTTTGGTGGATGAGTTATGGTCATTGAATTTTGCGGCTTTCCCTATATCCAAACAGCTAATTTACAGTGATTGTTCTTGCCTCTCCAACAGATGATCCAAAAAAGACTGAACATCTGCTTGCACTTGACAGAGCGAAGGAGAGACTTCAACTGTTCAAAGCAAACCTGCTGGAAGAGGGTTCATTTGATCCTATTGTTGAGGGTTGTGCGGGCGTTTTTCACACTGCCTCACCCTTTTATCATGATGTCAAGGATCCGCAGGTTTGGTTCCAGAATTCACACACTAGTACTTGCAGAGTAGTTTTTTTTTCCCTTTTTCGTTAGTCCTTTTTTGCCACAGTTTATTATATTGAGGCCAACTAGCATGCTTTATGCTTATCCTGAGAGCGTAGGAATTTATTCAATAGTAACCATAACCAAGTTCATTAACATGGTCACTCCTGTCAGTTTTTTTTTAGTTTAGCGTTGCCTTTTGATTACGAAAGGGAATGAAGGGTGCCTGCAAACTGTAGTTGAAGTGACCGTACTCTTCTCTTTGTCATATTATAAGATTGTGGATGTCAAAATTCTGGCTGTTCCTTGCTGAGAAACCTTGAATTGGCGAGGGGAAAAAACCGAAGTAGGATTTATAATTCAAGTTCTAAGGATGCATTAAAAAATTCTATGAGATATAGTAACGTAATTTAGTCTCTCGTTATTTCTGCTATTTTTTTCTCTTTTGGCTAATTAATTGTCATCATATTTCAGGCAGAATTACTGGATCCTGCTGTGAAGGGAACTCTTAATGTTCTGAAGTCGTGTTCCAAAACACCTTCTGTGCAGCGTGTGGTCTTGACATCATCTATGGCTGCAGTTGAGCATGATGGAACACCACTGACACCCAATGTTGAGGTGGATGAAGATTGGTTTTCTGATCCAGACTTGTGTAGGAAAAATAACATACGCATCTTGGCCAGTTTGATTTCATTCTCATGCGTTATTTTCTACTCCTGCTGAGATTTTCAACATGAGTGAAATTTAACCATTCACTGTTAACCACTCCTCTTAAAGCGATCTTTCCCATTTTACATTTCTGGTTATTGACACAAAACCAGCTGGCTGGTTGGTGGAGGAGTTGGTCCATTGCATTTTGTTACATCTCAGTGGTTTTCATAATGCCATTCTTTTTCGTTGTGAATGCATTATCTCTCCCATTTTTGCCCCCATGTAGATGTGGTATGAGCTCTCAAAGACTTTGGCTGAGGAAGCAGCCTGTGAATTTTTGAGAAAAAAGGGCATTGACATGGTCACAATCAACCCGGGTATGGTGATTGGTCCTCTTTTGCAGCCAACACTTAACACAAGTGTTGCGGCGATCGTAAATTTGATAAATGGTAATTCAGCAGTAACCATGAAAGTTCTCCAGATTTTAGAGTTGTTTTGTGTTTCATTGCATCGATCATGCATGATTGCATTGACAAATAGCTCTCTGCCCTAACTAACAAGGAAGCTGGCACTGCTATTTTGTTTCTTTACCATCCCAATTCAGTTGTATCTGTTGGAAGTTACTGTTGTACCGATTTACCAATTTAGTTATGGGGCGTCGGCGGTATCTGTCCTACTCGGTGAAGTCCTCATCTTGGTTTTTTGTGTGATTTTGATTGTTTCTACGATTTTTCCGGGGAGGAAGGAGAAAGTATATCAAACTTATGAAGTATGTGCTGTGGTCAAGGTGGATATTTTTATTTTAGTTGAATTGAGGTACGCCATCACCTACTTCATTGCCATCAATTTTCTGGTTGTGTTTTCACCATACCATAGCCATCCTTGTTAAATGCAGCCTAGTATCTTCGAAGCTTTGTTATATCCCTTCTAAACAGGATTTTCTCTTTCCAATGTGGTGTGCATGTGATTCCAACTCAGGTGCACCAACTTTTCCAGATGAAAGTTGTGGATGGGTGAATGTCAAAGATGTTGCAAAGGCTCATATACTGGCATTTGTGGTCCCATCAGCCCGCAGAAGATATTGTTTAGTTGAGTGTGTTCCACACTACTATGAGATCGTGCGTTTCTTTCGCGTGCTTTACCCTTCTCTTCAACTTCCGGAAAAGTAAGTAGTTAGACCTTTACCTTTTAAGTGTGTAGTGAGCTGTAGAGTATCGAGGTTTCTCTATTATTGTGTGAAGGTAGACAAGTCTTTCTTGGGAGATGCCATTGTTTCGAAATCATGTGCTGCTGATTTACTCAATTTTGTTTCATTAACTTTAATTTCTGGTGGTAGAAACTTTTGGAGTTACCATCTCACATATATATATTCGAAGGTGAAGCCACCTTTCAGTCAAATATGACTCTTCCTCTTCTTCTAATTTCAGTCAAATATGACTCTTCCTCTTCTTCTAAAATCCACTTCCTCCTAATCAGGAGAGTATGATTGATGGCTGCTAAGTAGGCACGACTAATAAGTTACCAAGCCTACGTCTCATTTTCCCCATGATGTGTATCTTGCGTCGGTTTGCTTCCCCGGGAGACAGCTGATTTTACTTGAAATTCGCTTCGCAGGTGTGAGGACGACAAGCCTTACATGCCGATCTATTGGGTGTCCACGAAGAAAGCAAACAGATTGGGGATCGAGTACATTGATACAGGGCAGTGTTTGAAGGAAACTGTGGAAAGCCTGAAGGAGAAGGGATTTGTTAAGTTTTGATAGAGAATTTTCCCAAGTCAGAAATGTAAACGAGAGGTTTTTCACCTATACTTGCTGTCTGTTCCCATGAAATGTGTTTGCATATGAACATAGGTAAAGGCAGGAATCATGAATCTTCCTGCTCCTCTGTCCTCATCTTCGTAGTAATAAAACAAGGAATACCATCGATGCGTTCTTTCTCAACCGCCGCTGAGTCAGGACGCACCGAGTGTCCAACTGATGGCGATCTTCTTATTAGGTCCATGGCCAATAGCGCGCGGGAAGGGCATTCGAAATTATCCCTTCGTGAAATTCACGCGGTCCTCGGTAGTGTAACTCGTTACGAACTTTCGAGGTCACACCCCTTTAACAGTTGACAGAATAATCAGTTCTAGCGGCAAACGAAACCTCGTAGAAGCAGAGCGACAGCAGGATTCATTCATTTAATCGACAACCACTGCTTCCCAATTTGCCAACTATAACCTGGTAAGCACGACAGAATAGACGGACACCGCACCATATATTCGTCGTTGGTTGAACCAGACGCGCGCAAAGAGGAGTCGAACGGTCTTTGCGGGCCGAGAATCCTCTGATATTTATTTCGTCCCGACACAGCACTTTCAACCCCCGACGGACTTGCCGAGGTGACAAATAAAACACACGTCTGGGCTTCCCGAGTTCTTGGGAGAAATCACCTAACCCATGCCCCGCCCTACCTGTCGGCTTCCAGCTCACCAATTGAATGCTCTCTCTTTTTGCATCAAGGCCCCCCCTCGGTAACGTGTTTATTGCCGTTCCTTACCCTAAACTTCTCTAATTCGCGTTCGCGACCATACATTTTCATGCGACTTTACATTTTCATGTGCCCTCAGTGCATCACATAAACTCGACTCTTTCTCTCTCACGCGCACTTGTACATGGCAAGCGGGATATTTGAACGAGCTTTTAAACCACCCACTAAGTGACATTCAAATTTTCCCTAAAAATTTAAAAAAAAAGAAGAAGAATTTTTTACACCAACATGAAAAAATTAGGGGCGATGTTCATATGTTAATTATGTCATCGTTACATTAGTTGAAATGTTTAAGGAATCCAACATCAAATGAGAAGTGTGGTTTCAAGCTCTGAAATTGTGAAAAGAAAAATTCATAAACTAAAAAGTAAAATCGACACTAAACATCCATTTAGTCCTATTTGCGAACATAACCATATGGTGAAATGATGAGACGGTGTCGGGACAACGAGTAACTTAAGTGACCCATGTGGTTCATATATAAAAGGAGCCTATAAATACCAGGACTTCTACGTTGAAAAATTCTAAGCGGCATAATTTATTTATAAAAAAAAAAAAACAGAAGAGTCATAGACTAGTTAAACGGGAGGCCGACAACGAATTGACCTAAATGTTCGAGCATTGAATAATTTGCGTACGCGGCATTTACACGATACATTAGCCGCATCTCTCCAGAAGGCAAATTTTCTGTTGCGATCAACATTCTAAAAGGGAAAAAGAAAAGCCTGAACCTCCTAGCTCAGCCATGAGTTCAATAATCCATCATATATCAAAGTCAAATGGATTCTGTCCTCGGAACGATATAATACGAATTCCATGGCCAAGCGCGCACTGTCATCTCGAAGCTATTCGGGGTCATCCGAAAGGACAGCGACATGATTTCGAGCGACCGATGATGACACAGGTGTAATTCCTTCAAAGATCGATTCGCGAGACCCCCAACCACGCTCATATCTGACCAGCGACGTTCCCATGGGCCAGCCGATAGGGGCGAAATTGAAAACGACGGGGAAAATCGGCGGGCGCGAAGTGAGAATACGAAACAAAAGCGGGCGCAGAAGAATAACGGCTTCTTCGAAAAAGAAAATGAAATCGATTTTCTTTTAGTCGATATTAACTGTTAAATCCAGAGGGGGCCCACTGGAACAATGGGTGGGACTCCCCGACCAAAACCCGGCCGTTTCCAACTTCACGGCATCACGCTCGCTTCGAGCGCGTGTTCCCACCGTCCAATCGGGTAGGAGACCTAGGATGTCTGAATTCTCCCTCTATCTTTTTTTTTTCTCTTTTGGACCAATCAAACTTATGGCCTCTCTTATAAAATACTGAAAATTGAAAATCCTGCATTTAATGAGATGAAATTTACTTTAATTACCTTACGCAACATTGACTTCGTAGGCTCAACTAAGTCAAAAAAAATTGCACATGACGTGATGAGTGAGGAGCAGTAGTTGCTTAGTTCATTCAATAGCCAAAATAGTTGATGACAACCAAAAAATCTAATCACTTTATAATGCTGAAACATGATCACATTTCTATCTTTGGTACGAAATTGATCAAATTCAGTTATCAATTGTCAATCGCCATTAAACAAACTTTCTAATTTCGATTTTCGACAATTAAATTCCGGCGCTCGAAATTTTTCAGCACTTACTTTGAATGTCCCGAAACGAGTTTATCACACACGAACTATTTAATCTGCAAATCCGAATTTCAAATAAGAAAAGCTTAAGATTTATATACCGTCGGCCTTTCGCTTCAGATTGCGCTTAAGATTATAATTATTGATATATGATTAATTCAAAAAATTCCAAATTTAAATATTTTTTTTGGGGGGGGTAAGAAAAGTCATATGTAGTTCAGACAATTCACGTTTGGATGGGGAAAAATTGTCCCACCCACCAACTATGATTTCCATTTATTCCGCGGCGGTAATAAAAACATTTTTCCTAAATTTTTAATAAATTGGGGGCGCGGGCTCCACGCGCCCCGAGCTGAGAAACTGTGTGATTCTTCAGAAAATCGCTACGATTTCCACGCCCGAAAAAACTACATAGCACGCAACACGCTCGCTGCGAAAACAGAATCGCGAAGACAAAAAGAACGGCCTCCAAGCCCGCGCAATTCACAGAGAGAGAGAGAGAGAGGGCAACAATGGCAATCGCCACCTTCTTCAACCCCACCGTCTCTCTTCACAGCCCCCCCGCCGCCGCCGCCGTCAACAACGACGGCTGCCCCCGCCGCCAGGCCCCCGCCTCCTCGCAGCCGCCTCCCCTTCTCCGCCTCCGCCTCCGCCTCTCCCCGGCCTCCCCCGCCCCTCTCGCCACCCACCAAGGCCGCCCGCCACTCCACGTGGCCCTCTGCTCCGGCGGCGGCGGCGGCGGAGGCCATTCCGGCGGCGGGGGCGGGGGCGGGGACGACGGCGGGTCCCCCTCCTCCGGGGGCGGCGACAATGCCGGCGGCAAGAACAAGAAAGAGGCGCTCATGGTGCTGGCGGAGGGGGGCCGAGGCGTGGAGAGCTTGCCGGGCGACTTGGCGGCGGCTCTTGGCGCGGGGAAGATCCCGGGGTCGGTGGTTACGAGGTACTTCGAGCTGGAGAAGTCGGCGCTGGTCCGCTGGTTGCTTCAGTTCGGTGGGTTCAAGGAAAGATTGTTGGCTGATGATCTGTTCTTGGCCAAGGTCGGGATTGAATGTGGCGTCGGGCTCTTCACTAAGGTGTGTAGTAGTTATAGCTTTGGACATTTGTGTTGTTCGTTCTGCGTGATTAGCGCTCCAAGTTTTGACTCTTGTGAAAGTATTCATTACTTTGGATTGCTGTCTGATGCGAGATTAGTCTTTTGAGTTCCATTCTTTTAAGGTTTGTAGTTCGCTTTTGACATTTGTGTGGTTCATTCTGCGTGATTAGTGATCCAAGTTTTGACTCTGCTGAAAGTATTCATTACTTTGGATTGCTGTCTGATGCGAGATTAGTCTTTTAAGTTCCATTCTTTTTGGTCTAGGGAGGAGAGAAAAAGATCGCATTTCGTTTGAGCTGACTATCTGGTTAATTGCTCTTTAATAGGGTTCTGTATATCTCATTATGTCAAGACCGAGGGAAAGACTCTATAACTTTAAATAAATCTGCTACGTACAAATTTTAAGAGCGCTGCACAGATAAAAGATTGAACCATGATGAAAAAAGTTGAATTTTCTATGGCCTCTTAAGTAAGTATATGAATTCCCATCGCCTTAGCAGCGAGTCAACTCTTACAGATTCGAAGTGAATGTCAGAGCCTCGGGCATCCCTTTGGGGCAGCTATTTTGCATAAGGATTTTGTTCTCGAGTGTCCATGAGCACTTGCTAAGTAACGAATTAAGGAAATCTTGCAGTTTCCAATTCACCGATTGTCCTCGTGATATGCACAGTCAATGCATCGAAAATTGTATTCTTTTTCTTATAAAGCATGTTTGACAAGTGCTTCTAACAGGATCCTTCACATAATATCTGCTATTAATAATAATTTACATTATTAGGTTGATTTTTTGTCTACTGCCCTGCCATGGGCTTGTTCCTGCCTGATCGAGGGTGAGTTCCTTAAACTGATGTGATTGATAGATGAATGGTGATGATCTTCTGATAATTCCTGCACACACATTCCTCTTCTTTATGTGCCGCTTATCTTTCTTTTTCCTTTCTTTTTTCGTGAAACAAACCAACTACAAGGATTTATGTCTCTTTGTAGACCGCCGCGGAGTATCAACGCCGGGGAGAGAAATTTTTCGACGAGCTGGAAATTGTTTTCGCCGATGTGGTATGGATTGGCTGCCCCTTATTATAAGTCTTCGTTAAGAATGTTGGTATTAATGCAAGTTCATCAATTACTGGTAGGATTCCTTGTAAAACCAACTTGGGCATCCTCTCCACAGCAATTTCAAAGATTTCACAAGTTTTTGTGTTTATGATACCGTCTATTCCAAATAAACAAATAGATTAATCTGGAGGCATTGTACTTCAAAGAACACCCCTTATTTTACTGGATGAAATTATATCTAAGCACGTGAAGATACACCAACATACCCACTCATATGTCTTTTTCTGTGTTTTCTCGAGTGAATGAGAAAATGTTCCCAGCTATGAATGTTTAGTAAAATTTTGAAAGTGCTCCTGTTGAATTTCAGAAGATGTTGATTTTGTTTGGTCCCACTTTCCCATCTACCCGAGTAGTGACATGCCTGTTACAGATGAAGACTTAATGATACGATTTGGTTATGCTTCCAACTCTTGCTCTCTTAGGTAATGGCAATACTTGCGGATTTCATGCTTGTTTATCTCCCTGCTCCTACGGTTTCTCTTCGCCCTGCTCTTGCAACCAATGCAGGGTCACTGGCAAAGTTCTTCTATAGCTGTCCCGACAATGCTTTTCAGGTTACTGCTTCCTCTATTACATTCAGCTGCTCTTCAATGAAGATCTCTGGGCCTTGCTTCTGTACTATTCACTAATTTATCCTTGGTCATCTGCAGATTGCACTTCCTGGAATATCATATTCATTCTTACAGAGGATAGGTTCCATACTGGTAAGTATTTCCCTCCCTTTTCAATTGTTGCTTCATATGCCCATTTTCTGAAGTTGTGCATGTTAAGCCTCATATTTTAATATCATGCAGCGTAATGGCACAAAGCTTTTTGCAGTCGGTACGGCATCATCGTTGGTGAGTTTTCATATCTCTTCCAGGACATCTTCACTACAATCCAGCAATCAAAGATGTCATCACTGTAGCCTAGTCCTAGCTTCTACTTCGTATGCAAGTTGTACTTGTCTAACTCATTGTTGGACAATTAACACAGTAGCTTAAAAAGGAATTACATCATGGCATGTCTTTTCTCATCTTTGGATGCTGAAAAGAGGTCTTCTCTCCATATTCCTTAACTTCATGTCAATTAAGTGAAGGTGAAAGTGCAATTATCTTTCTTCTTTCATCATTGCAGATTGTAAGGACTAGATTAGCTAAAGGAAAATTAAGGGACTCTAATTCTGCATATAACGGTTTCTAAATCTTGATAATCAAAGTTTTCTTGCTACTCAGGTTGGTACATTTGTGACAAATGCCTTGATTAACGCAAGGAAGGCTGTTGATAACGCTTCTGCTGAAGTGGAAAATGTACCGATTCTGTCAACAAGTGCTGCCTACGGTGTTTACATGGCTGTTTCAAGTAATCTCAGGTTTGCCGCCTTTACCCAATACCTGCATCCGCAGTTGCCTTCATATAATTTTTCTCTCGTAAAGGATTGTTTTCTTGTGACTCCTCCTAGGAAAACATCAATGTTTGTCTGTTTTGAACAGCCCACACTTACAGAGGGTGTCAATTTCTTTAGAGGATTAAAGTTTGACAGGGATTTTTTTTGTATCTCTGATTTTAGAGTATAATTCTTGGTCTTTTTTAGAAAAGTACCGTGCTTTTACATTCTGGCTCATTCTGCTTGGATGTTTCATCAAGACCCGATGCAAAGCATGCACTTTTCTTTAGACTAGTCAGAAGAGCTTGGCAGGACTGCCATCAAATGAACCATACTTGAAGACCTATCTTTCTTTTTACTTGAATCTAAAAACTTGTTCATGAAATCCAAGGTTTATTATGTTTTGCTTGTTGCTGCTACTTGTGACGAAAGAGAACTAGTCATTTATACCTGTCCAGCTACATGTCAAGATTATGTTTTTGGCCTGCATTTAAATTTCTAATTGTTCAACAGGTACCAAGTGCTGGCTGGTGTAATTGAGCAGAGGATGTTAGAGCCCTTGCTACACCAACACAAATTAATGCTTAGTGCTATTTGCTTCGCTGTTCGTACCGGCAACACATTCTTGGGCTCACTATTGTAAGACTTGTCTTATCTGGATCTTTTTGACTAATCGAGTTTGTACTCCCTCGGTTAAAGGAACTGAACTACATGATTATTTGACAGGTGGGTAGATTATGCACGTTGGATAGGTATTCAGTAGACCCAAGGTCAAACAATTTGTTTGATTTTCTTTGTGAAGGCATTTGAAACATCAATCTACATGTCCTCAGCATGCGGCAATCCCTGAAGCTGCCGCCAGTTTTGATTCATTCAAACCGAGGCTTCTCTCAATATGACTGGTTTATTGTACACATGATTTATCCTACAAATAAATGACCTTCAATTTAACTTTCTGATTTCTTCTTACTTATGGGTCTCAAGAGTGCTCTAAGAAATATATGTAGTTCGGACATCAGCAGTACTATACGGTTGTAATTCTGGAAGAGTTGAAGAATTTATGATAAAGTTTCCATTATCATCATGAGCACAAACATTTTTTGTATATTCTGCCACTATGGTTTTGTTTTTTGGCAGCAATTTCTCTCGTGAGTCGGACCATTGCATCTTTATCAACTCCACAACCTACCAAATTTTTTGGCTTTGAAATGGATGAATATATTAGTATTCATCCTAAGATCCGAGATATCATTAATCTGAAAAACATGTTGAAACTGACGACACATTCATGTCGTTTGGTTCTTAGGCAATGACTTCACCGAACATGCAGGGCCTTAGTCTGACCTTCGTGGTGTTCTGTTTGTCAGCTAGAACATCACAGCACTCTATTCTTCCTGCCTGAAAGAGCAAATGGACAAAGATGAATATGTTGACATATATGATTGGTGTCAAATACGACAGCTTGTTGCATGCTCGTATGCAGATTAAATGAAAACACTGACCTCAATGTGTCTTCGTCTTGGTGAAAATACCTCAACTCTGGAGATGGGATTTGCAGAATGATTTCCACCAAGTGCACAAGCTGGTAATCCGCTCTTTGACGCTCGAGTATAAGTAGTAACAATTTCGTTACGACTAGCATTCTCCATGGATTTCAAGAAAAATACATGAGGAACTGTGCATGGATTGTCCTCGAGGATCCGCGTGTTGAACAAATAGAGAGGTGACTTGTTTCTCTTCATCCATGGCCTGAATGTCTCAAGGGGTCGCCGTAAGAAGTTTCGAGAAAGTATGTTCTCATATATATGAGTAGAGTAACCCCATGATACAGAGATTGACCAGTTTCTTTCCCTCTGGTAGCAGATGGTTTGTTGCAGGAGACGAGATTGGTCGACTTGTGCAGGTTTCATGAGCTGATTGATGGCTTCAGAGCGGTTCATGGAGGGAAAAATTGGGTCGATGGTATCGATGTGGTGGAGCGATAAGATAGGAGATTGCGGATGAGCCGATAGAAAACCTGATATATCACCATGGAGATCAATCTGTGGCAAGGAAAAGTATTGCTCTTAGGAAAAAAGAAAAATCTTAGGAATCCAGATTATATAGGCCAAGTAGATTCTCAAATTTGTGACTCATACCTGATGAAATCCTCTCTCTTTGGTCAGGGAAACTCCAAAGTCGGTTAAACATATATGCAACATGAAATCGCTCGAATACAACCTTGGATTTCTTTCTATACAAGCATCCAACTCCGTCGCCAGCATCTCAACCAGAGGGTAGCTCAAAGCATAGCCAGCTCCTCCAAACGCCATCTCAAAGGACAAGAAGAAGTTGGACATGACACATTCTGAGCTCGAGCCGATATAATAGTACTTGGTATGATCATACTTCAACAGAACCTCCACGAGGTTGTCCAGGAAGAGTACGGTGTCGTCATCCGCCATTATGTACCATCTCACATCTTTGTCTCCCTGTCTAAACGTCTCCAAGATCGTTCGGAAAATCCTTACTTGGACAGGTGCCGCGATTTTCCGGGATACTTCCCACTTAGTTATATCTTTGTTCACTCGGAAAGGAGGCGAAGAAGGAGGCCAATCTCGAAGCTCTTTCGAAGGAGCTCGATCCAGGAAGAGATACCCACGAGTAACATTTGGTCTCCACCACGATTCGATGTAGGGCCTCTTCTGTTTCCATGTTTTCACAGAGCCAACTATGCCGAATACAAGGTGGCTGATGTTAGTAGGAGTGTCGGTGCAGGGGTCGGGACTGGATGACAGCCAACTGAGCCTGAAGGGAAGGTAAGAGGCAACCGGAGATTGGCTGTTGTGGTAGTTAAAGGAGAACGTGTAGAACAGGAGCAAAAGCAGTCCTGAAATAGCCACCGATCTGCATGAACTTCCCAGAGAAAAATGGCTGAGTTTCTGCTTGGCCGCGCTATGATAGAGCGACATCTCTCGCGACATCTCGACTAGCGGAAGGGATATCAAAAATAGATCGAGAACAACTATGTAGACAAGCGAAGCGCGAAATCACACATAGAAGACATACTTCATCACTTAATTAAGCTATTCAAAACTGTATCTTTTTTACAAGTGAAAGCCATTGCATCTCGCATGGTTTGATGTGCAAATGCATGTGAAGCTGTGTAACCTTTTCGATAATTTTGACGTGCGTCTTGTGAAGCGTATGGAGAAAGATGAGATGGTTTATGCTTTCCTCGTGAGTGGTTGGTGATGATATGCATGTTGAGATTGAACAGACTTGCATAATCACGCAACTGAGACAGGATGAAGATCGCACCAGAAGATTAGTTTACTCTATAACTTGCTTGATATTAGGGGTAAGCGGTTATAGATTCTAGGGTTCAAGGTTTCAAACAGGTTCCGTAATTTTTGGAACCCAAAATCTGCCCTGCAAGCCTAGGAACATAGAACCTACCCTACCATAGGTTTCAAGATCTACCTAGCTTCTACATGTACTCTTAATTGAACAATTGTAGTGAATCATTACCTTTAATGACCATCATTTGCTATAATCTACTAATCACGATTCATATTTAGACACATAAAGAACATGAAACATTAACAAAGTAAAAGTCTCAATCATAGAATATCGCTGGAAATGGAAGCTCATATTAGTGATTTCAAATTACACACTCATCATCGAATATCATAGAATGCTATAGGATCATGTGAAGATATAAAACAAGAAAAACACAAAAACTTCCACTTGAAATCTGCCATTCAGAACAAGTTCCCCAATTTTCGAAACTTAAGAACCGGACCGGTCCATGCTCACTCTTACTTGATTTTCTGACGAACTCTAATTCAGGGCATAACCTTAGATCGAAACAAATTGGAATTCTTAATTCTCTACGTCGATACATTAAATTTAATTAAGTTATGGCTTTCGATAGAAATATACCCGAAATATTAGTCACAATCGCCTTTGCCATCTAATATAGTTAAGTACATCTAGATACGAATTTCATTAATCTTTCCATATTGAAGCTGCCTTAGCATTAACATCTTCAGTAACAAAGGATTCTGCTAATCATTAACATCTTCATTAACCGCAGTCTCTTTTCATCTGTTTTGGGCATCCCCAAACCTATTTATATGTCCGATAAATAAACTTAGTTATTTACTCTTTAGCCCACGGAAGAAGTTTCTTTGGTTTAATTTGATTCAATGACATTATTTTTTCCTTTTCCTATTAAAATGAGACGATCCATGATTATCGAAGATGAAGTTCCGTTGAAAACGGCAATTAAAGCATCGAAATTACCATAGTCATCAAAAAGTTGGGACTCACGAAATTCCACATCTATAATTGCAACAAATACATGACACAAATGGTTTATGAATTTTGACCTAATATGCAACATGGTCCCTAAACTTTTAATTTATTAAATGTGATCTCTTAATTTTAACCCAATGTGCAATATGATACCCGAATTTTTAATTTGTGTAGTGTAGTCCCTGGACTTTTGGTGCATATTCAATTTATTTCCTAGATTATATGAAAATGTTCGATATTATCCCTGAATTCGAATCATAAATTCTATGGACTAAATTGAACATTTACAAAAAATCCATGGACCACATTATATAATGGGCTAAAGTTCAGGGGACCACATTGTATATCGGGCCCAAAATTCAGGTACCAATTATCCCGAATTCTTAGTATGTCTGTTATGCCATCTTCATTTCCAAATTATTCCTTAATTACTTGCCTTCCGAACCATATTCAAATTTTTCATTTCATTTATTTCACGACCTAACTACGACACCATAGTAGTAGGCAAAGGCAAACCCCACCCCCACAGAAACTACACCACACCGCGGCTTCCCAAAAATCAAAACGGCGTCTTCCCATCCCGCTTTCAATGGCGCTCGCCTGATCTTCCTTCCCTCCTCCAAATCTTCCCCTGCAAATTCCATCATCTCTCCCTCCCTCCCTCGCCTCTCCCTGCCAAGCTGAACCCAAAAGAGCTCCTCCTCTGTTTCTCATTTCACGCGCTCCGCGGCTGTTTTCGCAGTCCCACATCACCTTTGTGATGGACTCTCTCCAAGCCATGTACAGAGACGACGACGACGACGACGACGACGAAACAGGGGAATTGCCGCCGCCCCCCGCTCCTCCCTCCCCCGCCGACAAACCCTCTCCGCCGCCGCCGCCGACGACGACGACGGGCGCGCCGGAGAACCCCACCCCTCTGAAGACCCGACCCTTTTCCGACGGTTCATCCACTGACGACGAAGGAACCCCTGCCTCTTACGAGCCCCGAAGATCCCCCAAGCGACCCAGAACTTCCCAAAACGACGAGGACGACGACCAAGAAGAGGAGGACGAGGAGGAGGACGAGGAGGAGGAGGATGAAGAAGAGGAAGAAGACCCGTCTCTCAAGAAGCAGAAGCCTTCGTCCTCTCTCGCCCTTCACCCGCCCGGAAGCCAAGAACTCGAAGACCCGGCAGATACCAAAGGAAGAGGAGGAGGAGAAGAAGAAGAAGCCGAGGCCGGCTCTGTGGAACGTAATGCGAGCGGCGTCGCCGAAAACGGAGCGGCTGCGACCACGACCAATGGGAAGAAATCGAGCAAGAAGAAGAGCAGCAACGTGTGGGTCCCCAAGTCCACCCGGAAGGGCAAAAAGAGCAAGAGCAAGAACGGCACCAACAACACCAACAATGCCCACAATTCGGCCATCAGCGACAAGGTCCTGGTAGCCCCCTTGCCGCGGTTCCCCGACAAGACCGACGACAACCCGGAGATGGGGATCTGCCTATCCAAGTTCTACAAGGCGGAGAAAGTCGAATTGAGCGAGGACCGGATGACTGCCGGCAGCACGAAGGGGTACAGGATGGTGAGGGCCACAAGAGGGGTTGTGGAGGGCGCTTGGTACTTTGAAATAAAGGTGGAGAGATTGGGTGACACAGGGCACACCAGGTTAGGGTGGTCTACAGAGAAAGGTGACTTGCAGGCACCTGTTGGGTATGATGGGAATAGCTATGGGTATAGGGACATTGATGGGTGTAAGGTGCACAAGGCTCTCAGGGAGAAGTATGGAGATGAAGAGTACAAGGAAGGTGATGTCATTGGTTTCTACATTAATTTGCCCGACGGTGAGCGGTATGCCCCAAAGCCGCCGCGCTTGGTGCTGTTTAAGGGGCAGAGATATGTTTCCACGGCCGACCCGAAGGAGGATCCGCCCAAGGTGGTGCCTGGTGAGTTGGTTATTCAGTGCTTCTGTGGGGTGTGTTTATGTAAGTTGTTGATTGTGCGTCGCTATTTTTATTTATGGTAACCATTGCACAATGAAATAGTCGGGAATATTAGGATTCTGGTAGTGACTCTGTCTAAATATTTAAGGCAACTTGTGCTGGTGTACGTGGGATTTACTTCCAAAATGATACTTTTGCCGGAGAGATCAATTTTATAGCAGCAAGGTAAGGCACGGCTGAATGACACTTTCTTTTTCTGTTTAAATGCAGTAAGAAACTTAGCAGTACAAGCTCGTGCTTTAAATATGACACAAGTTCTGTCAAGCTCAGCTAATGTGTGTCTGGAGTCAAGTGATCTATGCCTGGATTGTACATTGCTGTAGCACATGGAAGGTTTTGGGTATGGTCAAGTGTAAAGCTTTATTTTGGGTTTATTCATTTAGTTCTGCCGATCAATCATGTTATAAATGTTTGAGCCGAGTTTAGTATACAGAGACTCTTTACTTTATACAAGAACTTCATCTCATAACAGTAACTGGCCAGCAGCCTGTCCTACAGTCCTGCTTGTGTACATGAATTATGACAGTTTAAAATTTAAAGCACTCTCAATTCAAGTGGACTGATAAGAAACATTAGCTGACATACTACGAGAGTAAAATAAAGTGAATGTTATAGACTTCATTCTCTTGAATAGGTTGAGGCCATTACTTAAATTGATGAGCTGGATTTTATGGTTGGCAGCCCTTAGAACTTGCCACAATGGCGCCACCCAATTTTCCAGTTTATAGCTTAACAGTCCGGAGATAAAACATATTCATAGGATCTTTTGATTTTTCTTGGACTACCGATGTGCGTTGATCCTTTGAGGTCAGGTTTGCCTGCATTCATAGCCAATGGCCAAAGAACCTGACATTCTCCATGTTTAGTAGGATTTTAGTGTTTGTTTAATCCTTCCTCAGGAGGCTATTGTAGCCAAAACAGTGGCATCCTTTCTATACTTTACTCATCAGTAATTGCAATCTTCTAATGCAGGGAGCGAGATTTCTTTCTTCAAAAATGGGGTTTGCCAAGGGGTTGCTTTCAAGGATTTGTATGGAGGCAGATACTACCCAGCTGCTTCAATGTATACTCTTCCTAATCAACCTAATTGTTTGGTCAGGTTCAATTTCGGGCCTGAACTTGAATGCTTTCCTGATGATTTTGAGGGACGTCCACTCCCTAGGCTGATGGTTGAAGTGCCTTACCATGGGGTCGTGAACCCGGTTGAGAATGATGTGCCCCCCGAAAAGAAGAATTAGCCATTTTGGAGGGGTTGCTTTGGTTAATGAGCTCCTTTTTGTGGAATAGAGAACTGGGAGTTGCATTCAACCTTTTGTTTAGGTCTTACTAGGATTTGGGGCTTGAAAAGTCGCAACTTGATGTAAAGTGTAAAGCTTTTCGTTTGGGTCATGAAAAGTGAATCTGTGACTGTATTAGACCAGCGAACTTGATTAGAACTAGTCGCGTTTATCCTTCTATTTGAGGTTTGACGTATGATCTCTATCAGACTCTAGGTTCTTGTTCTGTGCAGGTACTGCATTCTGGTTTTTTCCAGGTACGTTTTCGAAACTTCTGTTCAACACTACATACAGAAGAAGTTTTGTGGCCCAGTCACTGGGTTTTGTCCGTTGATTATAATTCTCTTCCCAAGTCATTAATTTCTCCTGATCATAAAGTTGATTTCAACTGGGCACAATTAATCTGTCAGATGATTCTTCTTAGCTTGTCCAAGAATAAATTAAACAACTGGCACATCACAAGATGGTGAGACTCATGTTAGGCCCGCACATAAAAAGAAAATCCAAAACTCGTCATGGTAGCAAACTATGTTTGACTTTGCATATCGTATTCATGATAGAATAAGTGCGTATGATTTTTCTTTC